GGGCGGGGGGGGGCCCCCGGGGGCCCCCCTGCCGCTGGCTGGGGCCCCCTCGGGGGCCCCCAAAGGCTTTCTTTCTGACGGGCTACATATGGGGCCCCCTGGGGCCCCCCAAGAGGCTTTCTGGGGGCCCCCAAGAGGCTTCCTGGGGGCCCCCTGGGGGCCCCCTGGGGGCCCCCAAGAAGCTTCCTGGGGGCCCCCAAGAAGCTTCCTGGGGGCCCCCTGGGGGCCCCCCAGAGGCTCCCCGGATGCTCCCAGGAGGCACCCAAGGGACCCAAAAGAGACCCGCAAGGGGCCCCCAGGGGGCCCCCTAGGGGCCCCCTGGGGGCCCCCAGGGGGCCCCCTAGGGGCCCCCTGGGGGCCCCCTAGGGGCCCCCCTAGGGGCCCCCTGGGGGCCCCCTGGGGGCCCCCAGGGGTGCCGAGAAAGTAAAGAAGAAAAAGAAGAAATTTGGAGTGAAGTGCGAAAGGGTCTGCAGGTGTCTCGAGTCGCGAGGTGTCTGTACACCTCGCGAGCATCCACGTCTCGTCAAAAGTAATTTTCCAAGTCTTTTCCCAGCCAACCAACCAGCTAGCTAGCTAGCTAGCTAGCTAGCTAGCTAGCTAGCCAACCAGCTAGCTAGCTAGCTAGCCAACCAGCTAGCTAGCTAGCTAGCTAGCCAACCAGCTAGCCACCCAACTAGCCAGCTAGCCAGCTAGCTAGACAGCTAGCTGGCTAGCTAGCTAGCTAGCTAGCTAGCCACCCAGCTAGCTAGCTAGCTAGCTAGCTAGCTAGCATAGCCAAATTGAGGAGAGTCACAGTTGAGCTTGAGAAGGCTACGGTGGAGGAGGATGGCGGCAGCAGCAGCGAGGGCCCCCAAGGGGGCCCTCGCTGCTGCTCGGGCCTGGCTAGCTAGCTAGCTAGCTAGCTAGCTAACCAGCTAGCCACCCATCCAGCTAGCTAGCTAGCTAGCTAGCTAGCTAGCTAGCTAGCTAGCTAGCCAGCCATCGTCATCGAATTGTGGAGAGTCCCAGTAGAGTTAAAGAAGACTACGCCGAACAGAAGCCGCAGAAGAAAGGCCCCCAAGAGGGCCCAGCCAGCCAGCCAGCTAGCCAGCCAGCTAGCTAGCTAGCTAGCTAGTTAGTTAGTTAGTTAGTTAGCTAGCCACCCAGCGCTCGTCCTACCCAGCCAGCTAGCCAGCCAGCTAGCTAGCTAGCTAGCTAGCTAGCTAGCTAGATATCCTCGTCGAACTGGGGCGAATCATAATTCAACTTGAGCAAGCTGCGGCGAAGCAGCACCGAAGCAGCGCCCGCAAGGGCCCCCAAGAGGGCCCCCAAAGGCGCAGAAAAAGCCAAAGGCCGGCGGGCAAAGTGAAGAGCTGTGGGGCCCGAAAGGAGGCCCAGGCGGGCCCCCGCGAGGCCCCCCAGGGGGAGGGCAAAGAGCAGCACGAGAGAAGCTTGCTGCGGGGCGTGGAGCGGCGCTGCTGCTGCTGCTGCTGCTGCTGCTGCTGCAGCGGGGGAGCAGCAGCAGCAGCAAAGGTTCACCACGTCCACCAGCGAAAAAGCCAGCGCGAAAGACACCGCCACGCCCAGCAGCGCGAAGGCCAACACCCGCAGCGGCGCGGGCAGCAGCAGCAGCCAGCCGGCGCCGCGCTGCTGCTGCAGCAGACACAGCAGCCCTGCTGCTGCCACCAGCCCCGCCAGCAGCAGCAGCAGCTGCCGCGGCCGCGCCTCCTCCTCTGCTGCTGCTGCTGCTGCTGCTGCGCCCGCCTGCACCCGCCAGGCCAGCGCTGCACCCACTGCCACGAACACCAGCCCCAGGTACCCCGAGAAGAAGGCCGAGAGCGACAACTCCACCAAAGTGCACTCCACCACTGCAGCAGCAGCAACTCCGCCGCAGCCGCCGGCCAGCGCGCCCAGCGCCGCGGGCCACGCCGCCTCTTTGCGCAGCTCCGCCGCCAGCCGCGGCAGCAGCCCGCGCCCGGAAAGCGGCGCCTCCAGCCGCCCCAGCATCCTCTCCGCCCCGATCTTCCTCTCCGCTGCTTTTATTTCGACTTTTTCCTTCCAAACGAACCCAAAATCCCCGAAAACCGCCGCGCTTTCCCCCCGGATCGCCAAAACCTGCACGGCCGCCCGCCCAGCAGCCACGCAACTACCGGTGCTGCTGCGCCCGACGCTCCTTGCCTCGCTCCCGCTGCTACTTCAACCTAATGCACACTTTGCAACGCAAGATCGTCTTCTTCCGAAACCACCAGCAGCAGCAGCAGCAGCAGCAGCAGCCGCTGCTGCTGCGCCGCGGCGGCGGCAGCAGCAGCTGCTGCTGCGCAGCGCCGCTCCGCTGCTGCCGCCGCTCCGGCCCCACGCCGGCCCCCTTCTTCCTTTCTTTTCCTCCAAATCCAAATCTAAACTCCCCTTCGCCTTTATTCCACCCAGAAAACTCCTGCTGCTGCTGCTGCTGCTGCTGCTGCTGCTGCTGCGCTGCCGCCACAGCCACCGACCCGTGACCACCTGCCTGCTGCTGCTTCGC